GGTCGGGACCGTAGCGCACAGCTTCCACCCTCACACCTCGGAGGATCGGAGGAGCTAGAGCGTGCGACAGATAGGAACAAACGACAGTGCGTGGTGCGTCGCCGCACAGAGGGAGCACATTTTACAATTAGGAACTATAAATTCCAGCTCAGTCTAAAAACAACGTAAGTACCATCAGTTTCCCTATGCACATGAGTGTTTTTACGGATGAGCCAGAAATTATAGTTCCGAATTGCAAAATGTGGTCCAGTTGATCGAGTCAATGCTGCCGTGCTGAGGAAAAACGCCGTATGAGCCTTCAGGCGTTGCCAGATTTCCTTCGACAAATCATCAGTTTTCAGGAAAATTTGTGAGTGGTATTCCTCCCATTTTTCAGAGGATTTTGTTCGTACTTCCATCTAGAAAGTCTGAAAATTTCAATGAGAAAGATGCAGAGCTTTCTTCAAAAATACATGTTTTGTTCGGGGAAATTTGGCAACTCTCGAATGTTCATACGACGTTCTTCCTTAGCACGGGTGAATGGGGGTGGTCGGACATGATTTAAAAACTTTCAAAGTGTATATTTTAATTAATATAAAATTTAGATGCTTAAAAGTATTTTCGTTGGTTTCCTCGTAAAATTTTCGTGAAAAGCACCCCTTTGAATTAAAAATTTCACGAAATGAACGTCAAATTTTACAATTTTAGTCAAAAATTTCATGTCCGACTTCTTTCGAAGACTCGTTCCATTGTGCGCGCACAATGGAACGAATCGATGGGAAAGGTCGGGTCCAGCGGAAGTGCGGGAAATTTAAAATCGTCATAAATTTGCTGATGCGAAACAGTGAAAATAAGTGGTTTCATTGGTTTTTTGGTCCAGTTTTATTCTTGGGTTGTCACTTAAAATTTAAATTGTAACAAAAATGGGGTTATTTACAGTTTCAGTAAAAAAAAAAATATCATGTCCGATTTCCACCTGGCACGGTACACAGTGCGAAGGTGTTGGCAAAGATGGGTTTAATAAAAATCAGCCTAATAACTGCCCGACTGTATTTGAGTCCAGACTCTTGAAAACATTGACAAGAAAAAGGACTCTTGATTCAATCAGATTTAATCTTGAATCTAAAGGAAATCCGCTCAAATTAAGAGGCTTGGTTCTTGATTTAAGCTTAAATCTGCCCTGGTAAAAATTGGCGATAAGAGCTGAGTTTCAAAATACCATAGGAATCCTTATAGCCGGCTAAAGAAGGCTACAGAAAATCATTTAGCTGGCTGTAGAATGCGGAGAAAATCATACGGCTGGGCTATACGAAGCGATAAAAAATTATGCAGCCGGGCTATAGTTCATTCCTATCGTCGGGCTTTACATTTTATCGCCTGGCTGTTGCTTTTTCGCCATCGATAGTAAAAGGCTATAAGAAATTGTGTAGAAATTCGTGTGCTTCAGAAATTATTAAGTTTGATACGGAACCACCTTAATATTTACAAAACACACATTATATTTTCCTTTAATAGATATTTTTGTTCATCAATTATAATGAGAATAATCCATACAGGATGTGCAAACATTTCAAAATCATAAGTTGAATAACGCTGACTCGCCAGATTAAATATTAGAGCCTAACACAAAGCGGAGCGGCGACGCACTGGCGCCTACAAACCTAACAGGGATACTTCACGCATTGCGCAACGCGTGAAGTATCCCTGTTAGGTTTGTAGGCGCCAGTGCGCGTTTCGCGCTGGCTGCCCGCCTGCCGCGCCGCAGCGCGCCACGGCGCTTGAACCAAGTATTTCACACCAGAGGTATTGCACAGTATCATACGAAACTGAAGGCGCTCTAATATAATAGTAATGGCAGGCACCCATCAAAAGTGCGGAGCTTTCCTCGCAAAATAAATCAAGATTACGGCCCAAAAAGAGAGCAGTATTCCGAAAACTCACTAAGTCCAAGCATCCGTAATTAGTAACGTTTCGCATACACTTTATTGCCTGGTTGTTGCTTAATCGCCATCGGCTATAAAAGGCTATAAGAAATTGTGCGCCGGTTATAGAAGCTATTGGAAATCTTACAGCCGGCTGTAGGTCTATCGTATTTTGGAACACAGATTCTGCTGCCAATTTTTTGCCAGGGTGATTGAATCAAGAGTATTTTTTCTTGTTGATGTTTTTAAGAGTCTGGACTCTAGATCCAATGTGGTTTTTCTTCCAGTGTTGCATGTTTACATGGAGCCTAATGGCGATAGACAGTTTAAAGTCACTTTATCATGCTGAAAAATTGGATTTAAGCAGTGAATTTTTCACAGAATGTAGCTAGATTTAGTTAAAATCGATATTTCACTTTCACTAAAACTGTACTTTTTGTGCCTTGTAACTTTAAGACCCTAATTTTAAAGAGAAACCACTGCAAACAGTTCCGTATATCTACACGAATTTGACGCCCGCTTTTATCCATGATCATAGTCATTTGTCATAAAATGATTCTGCTTGCTACCTTTTTGATCACGTTCACCGAGCATATCTACACACACTTGAGCGCTTCAATTCATCTAGGCAAGTAAGCTGGCACCACACTTCTTTCGCTAAGTCCTATTCTAAATTCAATCTTGTGTTACTCTAAACAGTAGAATTGCAGCCTGGAAAGCGTTTCCTAACGTAAACTAATTAAAGTATGAATCGGCAGCTATCACTTTGTTTCTTTTCTTAGTCCGTGATCGATTTGATCGAGCGAATTAGATGACCTTATCGTTTTTAATAGGCAAGCGCACAATCAATATTATTTTATGACCATTGAAGTGATGATTATTTGAAAGTTTATCGAATGTAACCATCAAAATGTAAGCATGTAGGTATATAAAACTCATTACAAGATCTATTGGCGAACTCATGCTCATTATTTGGCGTTTGCTTGGCCAAGAATTCCCATTTCGTCATTCCGTCAGGAAATGGCAATAACTCGTCTTGACCTCGAGAATAAAATAGTAAAAGCTAGAATTCACAGGATTGAGAGACAGCGGGAGGTACGTTTCGAGGCCCAGTGGAGATTGACCAATGGCCACTGTTCGTCACCTTTTATCATGCTGATTAATGCACGTCCCATCGGAAATTAATATTCAGGACATTTCGTTTGATATCCTGTCTGATCTTTTAGTGGCTAATGGCGTGCCCATCCACAGCCACGAATTGTCATTTAAATTTCTTATTTCGGCGTTGCAGTCTGGTTTATAGTTTGCCTGAGTGTGTATATGAGTCACCGACATAGGGTCGTTCCTTACACAGCTACTTCCCTTAAAGGAGGCCCCTATCTTTTTTTCATTGTGACTTAGGAAGGTTCAAGGAAATACTCAACATAGGCTCATAAAAAGGATAATCTTTGCAAACCTTGAATAAAATTCAAAGGTGTAATGCTGGAAATTGATCCTTGAAAGGCATTACAGTGATTTACCACAATAAAAAATACAAACACGAAATGAAATATTTTGGGAAATTTATAAATTTTAGAGCAGGTTCGGACCTACCTAACTGTTCATCAAAACCATAGAATTTTTCTTCCGTATTTTCTCATTTTTGCAGTGGCAAATCGTCTTTGTCCCTTTCGAGGATCTATTTCCAAAGTGAGAGAAGCTTTCTTCCCAGCAAAGGAGGGTCGAGGGGGCCTACGCCGGAGAAAAGAAAATTTTAAACCCTCTTAAAATGCGGGGGAAAAAGAGCAAAATTCAAGCAAAAAATGCACGATTAAAAGGGTTGAGCCCGAGACTGACCTTTAAAATGCCGCAAATGTAGATAAATTAAAGTCACGGAAAAAACAAACGAGCTGAGCCCTGACGCACTTCAGGTAAAATTAGCGCCTATTACAGGCAGTAGGTATAGGGCTGAGAGCTCTACAGCCTGCAGCCTGGACCATAAAGCTTTAGGGCTCAACCCTACTGCCGCTAAGTTGCGCATTAGTTGGCGCTAATGTACCTGAAGTGCAGGGCTCAGCGCTAAGTTGTTTTTTCCGTGTTTTCAAATGTTGTCTACTAATTTATTGAGCTCCTTGTATAAGAGGTTGAAAACAGCTCGGTCATATAGTAAAAGCTCGTTGAGACGAAAAATGAAGGGACGGAAAAAAAATTTCGTCATAAACGGCTTTTCGTCTTAACCGTTCTCCGCTGAAGACGAAATTTTTCGGCATAAGAGGCAACTGAGCTTGAAAGTTGCGCTGGTATCCGCGCTGCTCTCAGTCATACTGAAATCATTTTTGAAAGATATTTTTTTTTATCGATCAGTTTTAAACTTTATACAATACGAAATCCAAATTTTGATTTTTTTTCAAATAGGCAAATCGGTTTATCGTCAACTGTCGATTGCATCTCAGTTATCCAGCAAAACAGAGGATACCCACGATTTACTCTCAACCTTCTCATTCGATTTTCGATACAAACCGTTGATAACCGTTTGGACGCTATACAATCCACTGCATTATTCGGCCCACACAATCGGAGTCTTTCAACAGTTCGGTAGATGGTATGAAAGTTCGGTAGAAGGTATGAAAGTTCGGTAGAAGGTATGAAAGTTCGGTAACAAGAACCGAGAGCACAGTGTCATATCACATCGATGGAGTATAGGACACCATCCAATGGAATATACCTCGAATACCGTAATGGCAGCTCATGTGATATTTTTTCCGAGTGTGGTTATGTGACAAATATGTTGACGAAAAGCAGACATGGCCTTTGCTTGTACTCATCATAAAGGGAAAGCTACGATAGATAATGAGTTGGTATGCAAAGCACTGACAGCTAACCGAACGCTTACCAAAAGTAATTGATTGTGACTGATACAAGCACCAAGAACTAAATGCCTTTACGTCAACTTCTCTGCCTCTGATCTCTATATCCACTATCGTTCATTATAAGCATGGCTTTGTTCC